GAAAAAGGCTGTGAGTTATGTCAGTTCTAACCACAGGCCAGGTATGGGTGCTGCACACGTGGTCTCCACTATGGATCACAATGAAGCCTTCTGTGACCGTCCTATCTATGGAGACTAAAAGTACCTTTAAAACACAGCATGGAATTTGAACCCAGTGAGGACTCAGACTCCTACTTTTAACCACTGTCAAAACAAATATTTAGAAAATGAGATTAAGCAATCAAATGATTAAAGTATTCTTAGAATTTAAGATAAAATTAACCACAGTATTCTGCCTCCACCCAAGCAAAGCCTGAGAATCTTTGTAAAAGGGCAGCAGAGGATCACCCAATATTTCCAAAAGTGGGCTTTCGGATGTCTGGTCCCCAAGATGCCCCAAGATCCAATGCACCCCATGGCCATGAAGGTGTGTGAGAACACAGACACATGCCCCTCCATGCATATCACAATGCACGATGGCTCTGAATAATCCCACTGCATTATCTGTGCTTACTCCTTCATATCCAACTTTATTCTGTCCAGCATTTCAGTTACTTGAGCTCCCCAAGGAAGACCACTGAAATGGACAGCAACTGTTCAAGAATCAAAAGCATCCAGGCCAGCCATCTGATGAAAGCCCTGGACTCAACATTCCCAGGAAAGTACGATCAGATCATAAAACATCAGTGTCAGATCAAATAGAGGTAACATTGAGACTGGTTTTAAACGGAGATGCCATTTAAAATGTTCTGATCGAAGAAATTATAAAAGTTCTCCACTACAAATAAATAAATAATAATGGAAATAATAAGTCTGGGGAAATGTTTTCAATAATTGAAACAATGGATTTACAACTGGCAAAATGTACATGAATGTTAGTAAGATGATGTTAAAACCCCAAAGGGTAAAACAAAGGGTCTGATAAACAATTTGCAGGAAATGTATTTAGTCAATCAATTCTTTAAACCACGCTTCAGTTGTTAGTGTTTATGTAGTGAGGCCGAAGAGACACTGTCAAACTGGAGCAAGGAGACAGAGGGTTCAAGAAAAAAAACAGAGAAAAGTGCAACTGATAGGTTGCTTGGTATATCTGACTCACTGGGTAATTGAGTCAAGAGGAGTTTTAGCTTAGTCTCAAGAGAGTTGGGAAGACAATTATAATAGGCACAGAGTCCACTGGAAAAAAACACAAAACCAGAACAAGAGTTTACCCAGGGAAAAACAACAAGGGGGACCAAAAAAGTAACTACATTATATACCTCGCTTTAGCAGTAAACATCACAATAAAGTAAACACCAAATAGACCCTAACCCCCATTCCAGGATGATTATCCTGGGTGGTGGGCAGTCTAGGAGATCCACGGGCTCATTTCTCAGAGTAGGAAGTTAGCAGACACAGTCTATAACAGATATAGCCAAACATAAGCAAATAAGCATATTATAAAAATAAGGAGGAGAAATAGTAATAAAAACAAAAAAGATTGCTTTTGGTGAGCGGTACTGCAGGATGGGAAAGTATCGTTGTCAGTTAAAACCAAATAAAAAGAAAAATTAACTCTGGTCATAACTCTGGGCATTTCCATGACAACTCAACAGAAATGGATGGATTTAATAAATTAAATCAATCAGACTGGCCAGGACAGAATGAAAATTTATCAATTAAGACAAACAGATGGAGTGAAAAAGTAGAATGTCAGATGTTAGATATTCCAATGCTCTTTGTAGCCACTCAGAGTCTAACTGAACAAACCAATGCTTCAGACCTTTCCCAAACCACTGCTGCCATCAGGCTCTCTTCCATCATTTACCCTCCACCAGTGACTGCATCCAGGCCTGGTCCCACTGACCCTGACACCAGCCTGCCCTCCTGGCAGACCATGCTGCATGCTCAGCCTCTGCTCCTGCTAGGACCTCTCCAACGCAGCATGCCAGTCCGAAAGCCCAGCATCCTCTGGCATCTGTGCTCCCCGCCAGTGCTCCAGCTAAGCAGTGAGAGCTATTGTTACCAGCTTAAGGAGCAAGGAGTCCAGTTTCAGAGCTAGGTACTCCCAAGACAGAGGATGCTGCTCACCAGACACTGCCTACTGTAAAGCTTTCAGCACACCCTCCTTGTCATCAAGGCATCACCAATATTTTAGTTCCTCTTCTCATCATCGGCCTTTGGCAGCCTCCAAAAATAAATTTATGGATTCTTCAAGAAATAAAAGAATCAAGAGAGAGTCATTTTTGATTTGTTAAGTTTACTGCAACACAAACTAAATGTTCTTCTTTCTACTGATATCTATTACCTTGGCTAAATATGATTATATTTATGATTCCAATTCAACCAGCTTTCAAGATTCACAGGACTAAACTTACATAATTAATCATTAAAGGCAAAAAAATTTCAAATTGATACAAGATAACTGTCAGACAAAATTATAAGCTAATAAAAAATTTTTCCTGATAATATATTAAATTTTTTTCTTTAAAATTTAATCAGCTAAATTTTAAAATCTTCCTATAATTTCTCAGTTAAAAAAAAATCTCTTTTCCATGTGAAAAGAAACCAACCTGTTCAAGTCTAAGTAGAGTAAGATGGTAGGACATGTCAGGCCATTTAATTCCAATCTCTCTTTAAGACTCTACCTTTTGATTTTAATTGCCCTTAAAAGAAAAATAAAGTATGTAAACATTTAAGAAAAATTCTCCCAAAAGGCCTAAAGTTCTAATTTTTTCCTCCACTCATGTACAGCTAAACCATTCCAAAAGTGGAAAAAAATGTTAAAATTTGCAAACCAGGACAGAGGAGGTGAGTTAGGATGTAGTTAGGAAAAAAAAGAAATATATTACAGTTAAAGTTGAAAAAGCAAAAATTTGCTCAGATTTGAAAAAGTGCTCTGCCATTCCTTAGACACAGATGATAGACGGAGCCAACTGCCCAGTGAATAGGAGACAGTATTTCTTGCAAGGACATACTGCCGCTGGAAATGAGGACAATATCCTTTCCCTGAGTAACTACTGTATTTTGCTCTACAATGCTAGACTGTCAGAACATTTGCTGTTTGAAAGTATATCAGTAAGGATAAAACATCCTATTTTCACCTGCAGGATTCATGTTTTGATGGTTGTCATAAAAAATTCAGTGAAATCCTGCTATTTCAGACTCTTTGAAAAGGGGAAACTGCCCATTTAATTACTGGTAAGTGAGTTATTGGACAGGAGAAAAGCAATTTGCTTTCGAAATCAAACAGTAGCTTCATGAAGTCTAATATAGATTCAGTCCTTTAGCCCAACTCCTAAGAATTCTGTAAAACAAGTTTTTTAGTAATTTTAGGGATCTTCTTTTAGTGACCACACTGCCCTAAACTGACACACAGCTATTTGTAGTTTTTGTTATTCCACCTAGGGAAGTTATTCACAGTAGAGGCACAGAAACATTGCATGGGGTTAGAGGATGCTGTAATGGAGTGCTTGGTGTCACATGTACCTTTCTAAATGCTGAGAAATGTCTTTTTCAATACTGAAATTCAGATTCTAATTTTGAATTTTTAATTCTGAAAAATCCTGAATTCCAAGACATATCTGAGCACAAAGTTCTTCAATAACGATTATGAACATGCAATGTGCTGCCTAAGTGGTGTCCTACTAAGAAGTCTTTGGTTTAAAAACAGAGAAATCAGACCTGTATTTAGAATATTAAATACGAGCCTAAGAAAGGCTAAGGCATTATTTCTTAAGAGCAAACCTAGCAACAAACTCATCTCCCTGCCAATTTCATCCCTCAGAAAAGGCAAAGACCTAAGATATACACCTAATTTTTATCCTAGCTTAAAACATTAAAAAATAAAATTCTAGTTAAGACTATTTATATAACCCTACATATCTGAGCACTACAAACACAGAGAATACAAATCAATTTCTATTTTACTGCAAAATTTTTCTAAGCACATTAAAAGAACGATGATGACTGGACAAAACGATCTGATACAATAATTTTAACCAGATTCCTCACTCAAAACACCTAATACTTTACAGTATTTAAACCTTTTAGCTCAAATACCAATATATCCATGCACTATCCAGACTTGAGGGGCAGGGAGTGAGTGGGGCATTAATGAATTTAATTGCATTTTATTGAAATGCTGCCTGTGTAATACCAATACATTTGTTCTTACCAAATTAAAAAAATCAGATGGATAATTCCATTTCTTCCAGAAAACTTTCGTCATCACATTATTAATTTTTTTCTATGAAGATTTAAATGTCTGATACCTTCGACTCTGTACTACGCGCTGAAATGCTCCAGCCAACAGTTTTACTTGGGTTCAATAAAATCCTCGGCAACCCAAGCAAACTCATTAAAATGACTTGCAACGCTGTTTTCAACGTAGAAACATTTAAACTCTAACTTCTCCAATGACCGGTTTTTGTTCTTGAACATTCAAACACACCAAAAAAATGAATCGCCTTTAAATAGTTATTTAGCTTGGTTTAAAGTTTTGGAGCCATACTGCCTGCCCCTCCACAAAACAAAAACAAACACAAAAAAAACTCCTCAAATTTCCATTTTACTAGAAAAACTTTACTGCTTTCCAAATTAATCACTAGCCCAATAAGTTACTTTATCATGAAAATATTCTGAAGGAGTAATCATTTGAAATTTGAGTAGGTAAGAAAGTTTTCGTGTTTTATACAAATCCTCCGCCTTTCTGTCGTATAAGAAATGTAGTTTATGTAAAATTTCTGCAGGTACATTCAGTCACGATAAATACAGTGGAATTTTCCATTCCATTCATGTAACTGGCCAAACGAAAATGTGTTCTTTCGGAGACCGAGTTTCTCCGTGCGTGCGGATTCCCGCTCGAGTTTCCCAGGACCTCCTGCTTCCGCACTGTCTGCGCCGCCGCAGCACTGGGGTCCCGGGTCGCCGCGCTCCCCCACCCCCCGCCCCGGCAAAGTCCCCTGGCTCAGGCCTCGCTCCCAGTACGGGAGCCAGACCCGAAAGGTTCTAGGTTCAGGACAAAAACGGACACCACTTACCTGCTTCTATTCTCATCAATTTCCCCTCCTTTTTCAAAGGCTGAGAACTCCGAGTGTCCCGTCAATGCGCCTGGACACCCAGAAACCCGCCGAGTCTACGCACGGCCGCATCCCACCCTCGCCATCTTCCCCAGCTCTGAGATGCCCCGTGCTCCGTGTCTCCGTGGGCCGAGCGGAGGGAGCCCGCGCCACACCTACCAGCGCAGGTGAGCCAAGGGCGGGGCGGGGCGGCGCGGGGTCGAAGCTCAGGGACCTGGGTACGTGGAGCCGGGCGTCGGGCGGGCGCGTCCGTGGGGCTCTCTGGAAGCAGCGCGAGCCCCGGGGCTCCTGCTCGCTCCTCCCGCTGCCAATCTCCTCAGTCGCCGAGCGCGTGGTGCTTCCTCATTTTGGGCAACTTCCTTAACGCGCCCGGACAGGCCCCGCACTTCCTCCTGGCCGCCGCCCCAACGCCCCGTACTCCCCCAGCGCTGAATGCGCCCCGAAAGCCCAAAGTTGGGCAGCGGCAGCTGGAGCGCGGGAGACCCAACCTCAAGGTTGGCCTGTGAGGCGGGAAGCCGAAGGGGAGAAGGAGAGAAGTCAGTTGGGTGCTCCGCCCGCCTCCAGGGTAGAGAGGGCCAGGGCCAGGGGCCTTCATGTACAAAGAGGGCCACTGCCAACGACGGAAACCTCTTCGCCCCGTCGCCTGCAACTGATTCCTGGTACGGAAGGCAGGCCTGTTCCCCATGCTCAGGAAGAGAGAATCTTGTTCTCTGTGCCGCGTATTCCCAGTCACCAGCCCAAGACACCCCTGCTGACCCTTAACCAGGAGGCCATGGAATTCGGCCAGGTGGCCTTAGGTGATGCCAGACTTCCCCTGCACGCCTTTGGGAGGCCCCAGCCTGTCCAACACAGCCTTTTGAGGGCTTTAATTATTACAAAGTTCTTGATAGTGATTTAACTTGTTTCCTTCTACCCACAGCGGCCCACTGTCTGGAGCTAAATTACATTTAATCCTTTTCAGTAGTTCTTCAGTTTAAAAACACCTACCTGGATTCCCCTCCCTATCCTCTTCTCCTTTTTCTCTGTTGGACAGCACTTTAAAATCTTCCCATAAAAGTTCCCAGCCGCTCACATTCTCGGCAACACTGGTTGGGAGTACCAATTTTTAAAGCCTGTACCCTGAACCCAAATACAATAAAATAAAATACATAGTGTGTTAGATTATAATTGCCATGGAGAAAAATAGATGATAGGGAATGTTTGTATTCCATCGTAGACCCTCAGCCTTTTCACGTGGACATTCTCTTACATTCATTTTGCCACTGTTTTTATTGTATTGTATTTTTTCTATTACCATTTATCCCCCCATATCCTCTTCCACCTCCTCCCCTTCCCTTCTGCAATTACCATGGCCATGAGCTCTGTTTTTTCTCCTCCATTCCTCTACCCTGAACAGCACCCTTCCCCAGAGCTATTAACCTGCTCTCTATGAGTCTGTCTCCACGTGCTTGGTAGTTGTTTATTCATTCAATTCCATACATGAGTGAAATCATATGGTACCTGTCTTTCTCTCACTGGCTTATCTCACTTAGCATAATGCTCTCTAGGTCCATCCATGCTGTAGCAAAGAGTAAAATTTACTTCTTTAAATGTTTAACCCATGTGAAGGATTTTTATTATGGTTATATGTGTGAATCATTGGACTTAATTGAGCTTCATCGAGTCAACGAAATAGCCATCGTTCTCAAAACAAAGGCATAGAACATCCAGGCAGGTTTTCAGAGTTGGTGAGGTTGTTGGAAATGGGTGCCAGAAGACCTATCTTGAGTTTACTAAGATTACATATTTCCTTAGGGTTTGCTAGTGGAGATGAGGTGATGTTCTAGGTGCATCTTCATGCCACCCTTTAGCACTGCTGTAGTCCTTTCTGAGTAAACTTTAAAAAAAGTTAATCAGTATGCTTATAATAATTTTCTTAAAAAATATGTTAAAATCATCACACAAATACCTGGAAAAAAATCTTCCTAAAAGTTAACACATTTCTCCCAGGCTTCCTTCCTTTGCCCCATATTCTGACTTTGTTTTTAATCTTTCACTGTAATAATCCTTAGCTGTGATTGTCTGCCGAGTCCTGAAAGCATCCTAGCAAAACCTGAGCTAGGATGATCTCAGGGACACCCCACAGATCAGTTTTTAATGTCTCCTGTTTCATGTGTATTCTTCATTTATATTTTATTTATTTCAAAAGAGTCAATATATTTTTCTGGTTTTGCTGTGTGAATTTCACCACATGAAGTCTCACATGCCTGCTGCGTGGTCTTAGTATTTCCGTGGTTCTTGTTCGGGGTGCCTGGCTTTCTTGTGTACGTGGTCACATTTGATTGCAAGCCAGTCATTGTCCCTGAAACATTATTTGTGGAAATTAGTTAAAACCTGGGAAGAAGGTATTTTCTTTCAGAGAGAATTTACCTTTACTCTTTTCAGAATCCTAGGGTGCAACTAGTGTTGAACAATTTAAGAAAATTTCTCAGCTTATGTTTTTTGGGCCAGCTAAGTGATACAAATTCAGGCACAATTTTGGTCAGCTTGTGGTTACAGTTTCTCAAGGATGCACATCTTCTGTTTCTGCTGTGTGCTTCCCTTTTGCTTTTACTTCAGAGTCCTCATTTCTTGTATTCATGCCTTTCTCTTTAGTTTACTCCATCATTTTGGTGGATCACAAGCTCCAGGAGTTCCCTGAGAAATGGAAGTAGATATTTTAAAGAACTTCCATATCCAAAAAATTTCTACCCTCAAGTTTGATTGGTGGTTTGAATTGTATAGAATTCTAATTCATAAATTGGGTTTCTTCACAATTTTAAGTCATTTTTTTTTCTGAATGAAAAAAGAATGAAAAGCTTCCAGTGTTGCTGTTGAGAAATTCAAACCATCCTGAGTCATTATCTTTTGTCTTTTCATTCTGATTCTTCATCCTTTGAGCATCATTACTAGTTCATTGTTTTACCTTGTCCAGACTTGCCAGCCTTCTCCAGACCTTGTATTTGCCCTTCTCCTCTGTGGTGATACTTCCTTGATCCTTACATCAGATCCTTTGACTTTCCCCTTTCTGGGTGACGGTGTGAGGGCTTATTAGTCCCTTTATGCCTGACTTTCCATAGCCTTTGAGCGTGGAGGGATGACGTTGTATTGCAATGACTGGGCTTCCCCCTCCAACATGAGACTGGGTTGAATATAGGAGGGTTCACTACTCCTTGGGAGATGGGGAGGGGGAAATAGCTTACCCTCTTTTGGAGGCAGCTGTAAACATCAGTCTTCCAATTATGTGTGGAAGCTTCAGACTTCTGATAGTCATGCAGATGGCTAACATTTCTCTTTTTTCTTTCAACTCCACTGCCACCATTTTCACTACTCCTCGTCAAAAATGGGAAAAGCTAAGAGTAAATTATTGCTCCTTTTTCTTCCAATACTTGAGTGAGAATTGTCAGGATTTTGTAGACTTACTTGATGTGGTTTCTGGGAGGTGGGAGCATGACCTCTCCCTGAGCCTCTCAAACTTCTGTTTTTTAGGTTAGCCAGCACTTTCCTGACTTCATCCCATTAAGCCCTTCTCCTTTTCCTGTCCAGTTACTATTGGTAACATGTACATTTTTGTTTTTGTTTTCTTCTCTTTTCCTTTACCTTGGGTAGCAAGGAGTGAGGGATCTGCCCCCGCCCCCAGGTAGTGAGGCCTTGATACTCCTTGAATATTTCACCACTTTTATCCAAAATTTAATGTCACACATTTTTTATCATAGAATATACATTGTACATTTTAAGATTTAGAATACTAGGTCCTCATTTTATCTCTTTCAAATTAAAAATATACAAGTTACACATGATACATAGTAGGATGCTTTAGGCTACAAATACAAGAATACTTAACTCCACCTATTGACACAGTAAAATTTTATTGGCACAAAAAGAGGAAATCTCCAGAGTTAGGACAGCAACAGATGTGCTTTTATACAAATTATTTTAAGTTGAGATAAAAGAGATACAACACAAAATTTACCATTTGAATTGTTTTAAAATGTACTAACTTAATCCTATCTTGTGTTATGCAGACAAGTTAATTTTGATAGGCCAGCATCACTGAGACTCAGTGATGCTCACCACCTGGTTACATCTGTCTGCCCAAATGCCACAGAATGTGACAGGAGGAACAGCTCTTTCCGCTGCCTGGTTCCCTTGCCGGTTCAACCCTGATTTAAATGTGACTTTTCACCTACGAATGGTGGACTTCCTTCTTTTTCTGTTATCAGCGAGGTTTTGAACAAGAAAGAAAAAGTTACTTAAGGCCCTAGGATAGCATTTGAATGTCAACCACGTGCACCAGGGTTTACAAGTGTGGGCCATCTATCGCCTCAGTGCTTCTTTTTTCCTGGGCCCTCTCACATACCTCAGCAGGTAGCCATGCATTTGCCTAGGTTACTTTTTAGAACTATAATTACCGCTGGACCTCAGTACCTGCAGGTTCAACCAAGCATGAATAAAAAATACTTGGGGGAAAAATAATCCCAGAAAGTTCCAAAAAGCAAAACTTGAATTTGCCACATCTGAGCACCTACTGAATCCACACATAAGTGGTGTGTAGGCATATTTGCATATACCTTATTTTCCTATAATGAAAATATAGATTATATGCAATTGACTCACTTATCCTTTTTATTATTGAGTTGTAAGGATTCTTCGCATATTTTAGACACAAGTCCATTATTAGATATATGATTTGCAAATATTTTCTCCTGTTTTGAAGCTTGTCTTTTTTTGTTCCTGATGGTATCATTTGCAGGACAAAAGTTTTTAATTTTGATGAAGTTAAATTCACTCAGTTTTTCTTTTGTTGCTTGTGCTTTTGTATTATATCTAAGGAATCATTGTCTAACCCAAGGTATTGGAGATTTGTTCCTGTTTTTCTGTAGGTGTTTTATAGTTTTGGTTTTTACATTTACATCTCAGATGCATTTTGAATTCACTTTTGTGTATAGTTTAGGACAGAGACCCAACTTCAGTTTTTTGGCATGCACATATCTCGTCTCAGCACAACAGTAGTTATTGAAGCAACTACATTGACCCTTGAATAATGCTGGGGTTAAGGCCACCAACCCTCTTGCAGTCAAAAATTTGCATATAACTTTTG